AACTCAAAGCTCCCGCCTCCAAAGAATGTGCCCCAACTACTAAGATGGAGACAAGGCTGGGTGCAGGCACCCACGCCTTTGATCATATCTCTGGAAGCGGGGTCACTTGTGCAGACAAGATTGCAAGAATCCTGGGACCAGAAAGAGACAGCAAATGCAAGAAGGAGCATGACTGTACCTTAGTGGTATGGCAACTCACACAGAGGGACAGCTTCATGCATTCTGATCCCTGCTCTGGGGACTGCATTAAACAGCCATTGCATAAAATACAGAAAAACAATCCTTTCATGGTTCTAGTTCAGGGCTGCCCAGTTGGCATCTTGCAGGCCATGTGGCAGTGGAGGGCTCGGCACTGCTGTGCACTGCCAGTTCTGCCTGTGCAATGAGGGGCTGCACGCCACTAGTTCAGTCTGAGTGACAGGGGCAGTGGGGTTGAAGGTGCTCCCTGTACATTGTGGGGGAAGGAGGGAGATATTGGAGCCTGCTGCCACAGTGTATGGCCTGCACAGTGTGATATCTTGGGGTTGCATGCCAATGCTACCTGCAGCCCCTGGATAATACTGGCTCCACAGCCCTGGTCAAACTCTCCTTTCTAATCTTGGACAGTAGGATGTCATAGATATCACCAGCTTCAGTTTCTCAGACAAGGTCTGCCTGAAGCAAAAAGCTTCAGATAGCCATGTGCTCAAGGTGTCTGTTTTTGTTTCATTCAAGAATCCGAAAACATTTTCAAACCACTTCTACTTCTCTATCTTAGCCCAAACAAGTTAACAAGCAAAACAAGAGAGACAGTTAGATCCTTATCATTGAACAGGGGATTACGGACAATGCCATTCTTCAGCTGTTTCTCTTTTTTATGGCTCTACTGAGCAATACTTTGGCAGACCCAGACACGTTTTTACTGATTCAACTACTGTGATGAATGTATACAAATTGCTCGCAGAAGAAAATTATTGTCTTCTGAACTGAAAGAGACTGAGCAATGGTCTGTTTCTCCAACAAATCCCAGAGAGAACCTTTCTGGGAATCAAACCACAAATGTCCTCTTAATTCCACAGAGCCATGACCATTTAAGACTATTTGTCCAGATTCATAAAGGAAGAAAGTATTCATCCTGGTTAAAAGTATGGCAAAACTGAGTCTGGAAGTTCAGGACACCGCATTGCTTCACTACCCACTAGGCTGTCCACACTCATTTATAGTACCTTTGAAATACTGACTTGACCTAGAGTTTAAAGGGCTTTAGTGACATAAACCTCCCTTTGAGTCTGTGGATTCCTTCATCCTTCAAATACTTAAATGTTTTAGTTTTCATCACTGTTGCTGGGACTAGATGTCAGTGAACTATTTGATTTTCCTCACCAGCTCATTTATATTCTCTGCCATAAGATGCAAGATAGTTTTCTGTACTGACTGTTTCTCCATCTGAATCAGAATTTCTGTTCCTTTTTATGCCTTGCTTTTACTGCCTCAGTTATCTCTATACAATGCTAAAGTTTGCAGTGTAGACATAACTTTGCAAGGTGAAAAAGTGGTTGTTGCAAGGACTAAGATCAAGAGAGCTGCCCCTTGTTCTCTGTTAGTGTCTTACAATGCCTACTTCAATAAATCAAGAAAAAGGTAAGTGACAAAAAGGGGTCCAAGTCAAAATCCAATGAAGCTAATGGAAAGACACTTATTTTAGAAGGTGTGGATCAAGATCTAAATGTAAATGATGTAAAAAATGAAGGTCAAATGAACTTCAAAACTTCCTTATTGTAGTTTACATAGGGTAGATAAAAGTAAACACCAAGGAATATGCCTTTATTTTAATTGAGATGGGAAACAACCAAAGCATGCATTAGTTTGTTGTGTTAGATGTTAAACAGACTCAAAACATTTAATAAAATGAAGTTGACACATGTCTTAGCAGTAAATACAATATGCAGATTGAATGACAAATCTGAGATTATATCCAAATTCCATGCAGCAGAGACTAGTCTGTTACAAAATTAGCTTACTTCAGAAACGGAATGACTCATGAATAGGAAGGCAAATAACATGGCTGAAAATAAGATTTCAACTTTACCCGTGATTAATTCTTAAGAGCTTAGCAGGCATTCAGTTAGAAATGTCACTTAAGTAATAGGAAATATAGCAAGCTTTTAAAAAATTAAGACAGTGAAGTATAAGTCTACTTAATCTATTTAATTTATCAGTAATAGTGGAAACCCAAACAACAAGACTCATTAAACACATGGAGCTGGTAAACACAAAAAAAAATTAATCTAGTATAGAACTGATCATAAACCTAGAAGGAGAATATAGATTAATGAATAAGGAGAAGCGTGCACTAGGAGACTGCGGTGACTGACAACAAATGCAGGAGACACTATTTAATATTGTGGTATTTTTAATCCAGCGTATCAAGTGTCACTGACAGAAGTAATAAAATACAAAGTGAATGCCCTGAGCCTTTCTCGGGAGGTTAGCATGTAAATCTATAAAATAAATAATAAATCTCAGCAAGAATAACGTTATTGCAAATCTTCAGAAGAACTATTTTAACTGAGCAATTTTATTACCTGAATTTATAACATTTATAAAAATTACCCAAAATTGATGAGGATAAAAATGAGGAGAATGGTGTAATTAAAAACCACATCAGAAAGGGGGAAAATAGCCTACAGCAGCTATCCTGTGCCTCAAGACCTAAATTCAGTTCCATGCTTTGTGATACATTTCCTGTGTAACCTCATGTGTCATTTAATGTCTCTTTGTCAAAATTCAAAACCAGGGTTAATACTATAGCACTTCTCTACCTCACAGGGCTATTTTGACAACAGACTTGTTAAAGACTGAGAACTGCCCAGATACTATGGTAATGCAGGCCATATTACTATAGAAGATAAAAACAAAGAAAACAGTGATTTAAAAAACAAGAATGAATTTTAGGCAGTCATGAGGAGATTATTTTAAGACATGAACATTGCATACTTAGAGATTTTGATGTTAAAAGGCTTAACTCTGTTTCATTTTTCTTGCACATAACTTTATACATTTAGGTGCTTTTGATTTTTCATGCATTAACAACTGTGGATATAGATGGTGGAACATGCTTACATATAACCCATTTATCCAAACACTGCTTGCACGTTTACATTCTGTTATCAGTGTCAATAGAAATTATGTTGGTAAGTTGAAAGGTGTATAATGAGTAGCTGCATCTAGAAAAGCAGGTCATATTCTAAAAATAGAGCCTACAAATTCTTATGGAAAAGTGCCGGATGGAAAAAAAAAGTGCCAGTAGGAGACAGCAAATGCCACTGCCAACCTGCAAGAGTCCATGTACATTCACACACTCCTGCAGGTTCTACTGAGAAGCTTCACTGCCAAAGCATGAAAGTGCACCCTGAGAAGGTATCAGCTACTCGAAGTGTCTATGCACATCTTCTGTTGGTTGCTGAACAGCAGCAGAAGACTTACACCACTTGGCAGAGGTGGTTTTACACTGTTGGTAGAGAACAGAGTTCTGCTGCAAGAGAGAGCTTTGGCTTGGTCTGTTTTCAGCATGGTCTAAGCAAGTTATCAGTTTGGGTCCCTTAAGGATGTGGCTGCAGGGACAATAAGATAGTGGGTCCCAAACCAACTGTGTGAAACAAGCATGGAGATGTTCAGTGAAATACCAAGATGGCAATTCTACTGCTCCTGAGCAAGCCCCACTCTAGCTGCCCAGGGAAGACTACTGATGAAAACGTAGGCACATATGTCCTTTCACCTAGAACTGGGGAAAATTTAGATATCTATGTTTTTTCAGATGTCTAATGGGTAAGATGTGACTTTGTAGATCACACTCCTAGATTTAGGCCTTTAAATTCTGCCTAATTTCTCCTTCAGGAATTAAGTTGTTTTGTGGATCTGTATGTCTACAATGGAGTTGTCTGTGGGAGGAAAAGGCAGTCAGATGCACTCACATTTTGGGAGTGTGCCTGAAAGGGTTTAGTTTTGTCCCAAGGTGCCTGAGGTGCAGTGAACTGAGAGTGAGGCAGAGTGTCCAAATGCATAGCACAGTGGGGGGTCACCTGGGTACCTGGTGCCAAGGGGGAAGCACAGTGAAGTGGGGATGATGGCCCTGGAACATGTGATGCAACAGGGGACATAATGCAGTAGGGGATGGGGGCATGTGGTGCAGGGGAGGTAGGGCATCAGGGTAGACATTGCCATGGAAGGGACCACCAAGTCGTGCGGCCCCAGGGACCCATGGCTCCAGTGGTGCAAGCCCTGCTAGTGCAGCTCCTGGGCATGTGGTCCTTGGCCATGTAGAAGTTGGGCAGCCCTGGCTTATACGGTCACAAAGAGCAAGTCAGGAAAAAGAACAGTTGGAGAAGACAGATATTTGTCTAAGAAAATCTCTGTGGGAAATCTGACCTAGAGGATCTTTCCCAGATGAAAAATATGAAGTTAATGGGACCAAAATTAACTGTAGTTTCAGAGTACTTCAAATAATGAATGGTTCACAGAATGTATCCATATCTGTTCTGATCCCACTGACCAGCATGCACACCTTAATTATCTGGAGAGGGTTGCCTACAATCACAATACAATCCTAAAACTGTAGTCCTTAAATCAACAGCAAGACTCAGTCTCCATTTTGATGTGCTACAATGAGACAAGGACAACAGAATCTCTTTGATTTTCACTTACATCCCCCAGCTTAAACACCTCAGACACCTACTAATGACCTCCAACCCCTCCTGGAAAATGACGACCATCTCAAGGTAGCCATAGGAAACAAACTTGACTTCAGCAAGAACTGTAGGTCAGCACCAAGGTTTTTTTTTAATCTACCTACCACCTTATAATTATTTAAATTATCAATTTTATTCCTATTGTAATCTTAAATTTAATGATAATTTTCTATAAACTTTGTGGAAAGTGCTTTTAGTCCATAATTATACACATTTTACAAGTTGGAATCATATCTTCTGATGTGGTTTACATTAGCTTGAAAAATACTATACCTAGCATAGCTTTTCCTTCATCTTCCAGCTCAAATCGAAGAGTCTGAAGTTCCTGTTCCATTTCTAATTTGAAACCTTCCATGGCTTGCTTATGTGTTTCTTTCAGTGTCTGAAGTTCTTCTGTATGCTTTTGTTGTAAATGTTCTTCTAGTTCCTGTGAAATACAAATAAAGGAGAACTATTTTATGCAGGTTGGCACAACACAAAATATTTAAGAATGATTTAGGAGGCACAAATTATTTTTAAAATGAATTAAAAGAAAAGGCAGACATGAATTATTAAAACCCCTTCTATTTATCATTTAGTGAGAGTCACAGACATACTCGAACGATCATATAAAATTTAGTATTTATCTTACACATATATTATCCATTAAACTGTCATCGTAATCTTTTTTCTTCTTGTCCAATCTCTCCTAATAACTGAGTATAAAGAATAAGCTACCAATCTGTACACAAAACAAGTGCTGTTTATTACTTGCAAAGCGTTAGCTCCTTTAGTTAAGATACAGACTAAATAAAGTGCAAAATCAAACATCATTTGGGCATGAAGGTGATATCATTTTTTTAGATACTATGAAAAAGTGAGTCTCAGGAGAAGAATATGCATGCAGTAATCAAATTAATAATATAAATCATATCACCAAAAAAAGAAAATAAGAATTAGTGTAAAGAATTTTCTTTGCTAATGCCCTTGGCCTTTTATCTAAACATATTATTCAGTATTCCCCACACAGATGATTGGAATGCCCATGTAAACATGCCTTTTGCTCTTGTTCTTTTGTTTCTTCCATGTTCTGAAAAGCAAGGATATGTGCTTCCTGCAACGACTTGTGCCTCTGTTGATGCTCTTCGTCCAGTTCCTGGAGCTCTTGGGTAAGCCTTTGCCGTTCCTGACTAAACTGGACCTGCAGCTGTTGTAAGGAGCTTTGCGACTGGGAGAGTTGCATCTCCAGATTCTGTTTCAGCAAGGAGATCTAATCCACAGAACAGCAAATATCAGTGCATTATAAATACAAAAGTCAAGTCAGGAACATATTGCTTTAAAAAGAAATAAACATATGAACTACAGAAATAAGATTTCTAGAACATACTGTAAAGTGCCATTACATTAAATTCAGACAGCATATCTACTGAGTTACAATTAAGTGGCATAGATATATTCAGACTACAAAATAAAAGAAAGAGAAATAGTATTTACAGCTAGTGAATTTGTATATATAGTTCATCACCAGTGTAAGAGATGTGAAAGGGCTCTAACCTCTCTAAGATGAACTCATTACACACCACTATTTATAAGGTATTTTATATATTTCACAGCTGAACTACCTTATTAAAATTTACTTCTAGACCTTTCATAAAGAAAAATAGAGAGACACTATCACAAGGTCTGTGGCTCAATATCTGATCTGTTAAAGTTTTCTGCCCTGAAGTGAAGATTGTTGAGGTTCTGTAAGGAAAATCCTGCACTAACAAAATATATTGAATTATTAATCTTTTCTTTTTCTAATGTCTATGTTCCTGAGTTACTGATAGTTTTTGTTTTTAAAAATGTAACATGCCATTACAAATAGATTAAAATACTGAAACAGACCTCTATTTCTAGTAGACATACAAGATCAGACTATTTTGTGATTCTTCTGTTTACTCCTATCACTTCAGCAATTACATTAACAAATACTTATTTTTTTCCTGAAAAGGTGCTGACATAATCAATAATGCCAAAAGACGAATATATTTTAATATAATAGGACCCTATGGTACCTGAGAGAGCTCCACACTTTTTTAACTCAACTGTAGCTTTATACTCCAGTCTTAATGGCCATTGGTACAGTTAGCATCCTTCCAAACAATACTGGACTACTATTCCATCAGGAGCTAGAGGACACAACTCTAACTGAACAGAAGGGGTTGCTGATGAAGCAAGGTCAGAATCTGCCAATATTGGGAATAAAGCTAAAATTAAGGCTTGTTGTAAAAAAAGGAATTTTGTTGAAGTGAAAGCAAAGAAGTAAAAAAAATAAAATTACCAAGTGACAAAACATAAATAAAAAAGTGTTACCAACTCTCAGAGCTGAATATAAAAAAATTGAGTGTCATTTAAAGGAGTACATACTAAGATTAACAATGACAGAAACATATAGACTAGGTACAGACATTCAAAAAGCCCAAGGAGGAATCTAAGTCACACAGTTTTCCATAAGCAGTGTAGTTTAGATAGGTAGCGAACAGAACACACATTTGCTCTTTGGTGCAGGGGGCAAATCTTAGACCAGGTTCTGACATTTATAAACAAATCCATATGTGCCAATTTCTGTTCTGTTACAGGTATAGGCCAGTTTCTCATCACTTATACCAGTAAAAGTGCAAGGTCTGTACCTGGCCATAAAGTTCTTGTACAAGAATATATTCCATGGTGTTTTGCACTGGGTTAAAAGCTTGCAGCATAAAATAAAAAGTAACAAACCAACATTTATATTATTGCTGATTTTTTGAAGGGAGAAAGTTAAGATAGATTTCAAAAGAAAGATGCTACACTTAAAGTAAAATTAGTACTTAAAGTAAAAAAAAACAAATTGAGTAAAATGACAAATCACACAAAATTTTAACAGAGGCAGAGATAAAAACAATCCTATGATCAGAGTACAACTATTTGACTGCCTTTTCTCTTCCTGAAATCATCTCCCTCATTCATTATATACCATTCAACTTCTACAACAAATAAGGCTTGAATTGTGCTGATGGCACTATCATCCATGGCTCTGATTTACATTCAGAGCACCTTCTATCACATACACTGAATGAAGCAGGGATCCTATGAAAAAATGGGATATGATCATGTAACTAAAGGCAGTATCCAAATCCACAGATACAGGGTACCAAATACAGGCTCTAGAGGAAGTTCTAATTCAGGCATTTCTAATTCTTGAGTGCTTGCCCTTTACAGCCTTAGTGCTATTTTAAAATAATCTGCTGTTTGCTTAATTGTCTATCTTTTTATAAAAGCAAACTAAAAATAAATTCCATCATGTGGAATCACACTAACCCATACACGGGTCATCAGTAGGGTCACACTAACCCATACATGGGTCATCTTTATATCTGCAGCAAAGATGTCAACCACTTGAACTAACAGAACAACTGGTAGCAGCAATAGGTTATTCTCTGACCAGGCACTAGAGGGAGAGAAAGACACACACTACTAGTGAGTTTCACAAATATTTGCTGAAAGCAAAGAGATGTTGAGACTCAAAGAACAGGCTTGGAAAGGAGAGCTCCATGTTTAAAGGTCCTTCTGCTTTTTCTCCTCTACCAGCCTGTCACCCCACCCCATCTCCCTTTGTTCCCATCCATCACTTCCAGAAACCATGGTTCTAGTTCTATTCTTCCTTGCTTACCTCCTTGCCCCCTGGCCTTCAGGTACCTCTCACTCCCTGCTCCTATCTACCCCATGGCCCTCAGACATCTGCCACATGCTGATGAAGTCTCCAGACTTTTTTTCTGACCAACTCCCTGTATCTTATAATACAATGATGATATCACATATTGTGACACCTACATATTGGACACATTTAAGTCTTTATTCTCTGAACTATGATTCTATAAAGCTTTAAAAATATTTACCTCTAATAAAAAGGCATATTATTATAAATTATGCACAGTTGTGTAGTTTTGTAAAATGTAAGGATTTAACTATAGGTATTATTATTGTAAACTGATGTTTTTGGGCTCAACACCAGGGAACTTGGTTTTTTATGTTTAAAAATTGCAATTCTTCCAATTTAAAATCCCCAAATCTGCAATTAAATTGAAACGTCACTATATATATCAATTACAATGTTTTATTGATATATTTACAATTTTAAAGCAATTGGGAAGCCTACCAGTGCCTGGATCACTATCATAAAATACATTTTAAATACCTGTAAATTTTGGTATTTGATTTTGGGTTTTTTTATCATGGAAAAATCAGAGCTCCCCTGCCTCTAGGATGCAAGTCCAGGCCCCTCACTCCCAAGCCACAGCCTCCCCAGCCCTGCTGGGGCCCCTTACTCCCTAACCACAGCCCCCAGCACTGCTGGAGGGGACCCCCCAGCTACGAGGGCCAGGGGGTCAGGGACCTGGGTCTACAGCCTCTTGCACCCCACACCAGTTCCTGAGCCCCAGCTTCCACCCTCAGGAGGTGGTGGCTGCTGTGTCCCCAGTGGGGAGTGGAGCGCGGAGCCCAGCTCTGCCTCCCTTGTGGGCAGCACTGCTGGAACGGAGCCCATGGCAGGGGTGGCTGCGGGGTGCCCATTGCAGGCTTAGGCTTCACACCCTGCTGCCTTCTCCGCTCAGGGCCTCTGTGGCCCAGCAGATGGGACCTGGCACAGCAGGGCAGAGAGGGCCTGGGCAGGGAAGCTCAGTGCTACCACTGAGAGCTCTGTGCTGCCCGGCGAGGCACTGCCTGCCCACCTGGCAGCAGTGATGGGTACAACTCCATGCTGCCACCCTCACTGCATTAGGATGATGTGGGGCTTGCATAGGTAAGGAGCTTTCCTGCCTGGCCCTGCTCTGCCCTGCCTTGCAAAGTCCCACCTGCTGGGTCGCAGAGGCCCTGGGGAGAAGGCAGCAGGATGGGGAGCCAAGCCCAAAGCAGGCGGACTGGCCTCAAGCTGTGTACAGACCTGGGGGGCACGGGCCCCCCAGGAATGCATGCAGCGGCGGAGAGCCAACTCCCCCCCCCCCACCTCCTGGATGAGCCACCTGCTCCATCCTGCTCCCCGCTGAGGTCCTGAGGCTGTGTATTCTGGCCCTGGGTCTCAAGCAGCACCCCAAATGGGCAGCATCCCTAGGCCTGCCCAACTTACTCAGTCCCTCCCTCCCTATGAGGACCTCCATCCCCCTTCCCCTCCTGCTAGATTTACCTGCAGGAGCTGCTGTCCAGAGGCTGGCATTCATATGCATGTGTGAGCACATGGCACCCCCCTGCCTGACCATCCTCCCCCCGCTGCCCCCAGCCCCTTGCAGGCTGGAACTCTGCCTGCCTGCCTGCAGAGAGCTCTTTGCAAAAGTGGAAAATCTGCATGTTTCTCTGTTAAAAGGAAAAATCCACATTTTTCTTGGTTAAAAGGCAAAAACTGCGTTTTTTTCTGTTTTTTCTGCAGGAAACAGAAACCCTGCTCAACACTAACAGAAACCTAGCCCCATAAGTATCATCATCATAAGAAAAAATATTCCAATTTAAAATTATATTCCTCTTGTAACAGCAATTGTTTCATTGCTGGGAATTAGCCAGCTGGCTCTGAAATATCAATTTTTCTTTCCTTCTACAAAAAACTGAAACTGTTGTATGTAAGACGTAAAAATGCAAGTTTCCTAAATAGCATGTGTAAATATTTCTTATTTTGTTGGAAGTGCTTCAAATATCAAGAGAAAACACATTATTTTTTTACATAGGGAAGTTTTAAAGATACACTGTAATTCCAAGAAGTTATTTTAACAATTTATTATGTATATATAGTTTCACAACCACTCTTAAGAATATGAAAATAGTAAACTCTCTCTCTGCATATTATATTTATGAACATTTAGCTTAGTGTTTTGTCTTTCCTACAATGAAGATCCAAGACACTTATAAGTCTTTAAATATTCCATGATACTTTGAACTTTAGATACTGTCATCTAAGTCAGGACTGTCCACCTAGTAACTCACAGGCTGCAGGTGATCACCAAAGGGCTAGCACGTGGCCTGTGTGTTCCTGCCCGACCCCCAGACCCATTTCTATCACTTTTACAAGACAATTTT